GGACTCACCTGCCAGCGCCTTGATGCGCGAGCGTTCGAAGAGGCGGGAGGAGGAGTTCCCGCCATCGTATTCGTAGTCCTCGACGATCTCCTGCTGCAGCGTCGGGTCCCAGCGGACCAGCGAGATGTCGGTCGTCATGGCGACGACGCGGCGCTCCTGCAACACAAAATAACAAACGAAGCGTTAAACAACGCCGCACGCCATCAAGCACAACTTTCAAACCTTATTCGCTAGTACAGGGTTAACATCCAACTCCCATTTCCCTTAAAAACAAAGCGTGGATAGGACACTACAGAAACAGATTCCTCTCCACTCCAAGATTAAATCCTAATCCATACCTCTTGTATCTCATCGAATGCAACGCATCCCAACGAATGCATCGTCACACCAAAGAATACATCAACACAACGAACACGTCTATTATAATTCCAACGAATCCATCATACCAATGAATACATCTGTTGAAATCCCAACGAACACATCGTCACCTCCAAGGAATATGTCGCCACTCCCAATGAATACGCATTTTAAATTCCGAATGCATCGCTAACTGTCAAAATCCTAATGAGTGCATCACCCCAATGAAAGGATCGTCTCAACAATAGCATTAACGCATTAAATCCTTTTAAAATCTCGTTCTCCTGCACTTGTTTGATTGTACGTGTTTCAGTATACAGTTTCTACAACCTGTATACCTTACTTTCCCCTTTGCTATTAATTCAATAAATTCACAATTTTACCTTCCCCATTTTACCACCCCAGTTTTACCTTCTAAAATATTATCCTTAGGCTTAACTGTCTATGAACTGAATTAGACATTTTGACGTCTTGTCTAGAAGAACGTAGCACCCCACCCCGGCTGGCCTTTTTCGGTTGCAACCTTAAGCCGGCTTCACACATGCGGCACTCGTCGAACAGCGAGTTACTTCCCGACAAGGTGATGTGTTCGGAGAATGTTCGCTCCCTTTGATGACTCCTACAGACCGAATGTTCGGCGCTCGGTGCATCGCCTGTCCACATTACTCGGGATTCGCCGAGTGCCGCATGAGTGGAGCCACCTTTAGGCTTACTTGTCCAGGAATTGAATGGGACTTGTCTAGAGGAACTTACTCGGCACTCCGACCGGGCCTCCGTTTTTCGGTCGCCCCCTCACACCCCCACCCGTGCACTTCCACGCTCAAAGCGTCCAGCGCACAGTGGCACCAACACTTCTTTTTTTTTTTCCCACTCGCGAAGCTCTTTCGCAAACACAGAGGGAAAACCCCTCGACCGACGCGAGTACCGTGGCTATGGGAACCTGATCCGAGCCACCGCCGCCGCACCTTGCCCCCGTTGTGCAACACTCTCCACCGCCGCCGCCGCCGCCGCCGCCGCCGGCCTCAAAGGCGGTCCCCGCCCGTTTTCCCATGTAGGGACGTCGTTTGCATTTCTCGGCCACAACGGCACAAAAAGAGAAATTAAAGGGAAAAAAAGATAGAGACTCGCGCGCAAACATGCCGGTCGCACGATGGCTGCTGCGCTCGGACGAAGCATACCTGTTACGTTATTGTAGGGACCAAATTCTCTGAACTATGTTTTATAATTATTAACGTCATAAGGAGGAACTGATATAGAGAAAACATCGGCAGTGGTAAATGTTGGATCACGTGATTGCCTAGGTTTATAACTAAGCAATTTCATTCTTTCCAAATATAAATAATTCCTAATTCACCCACAAGAAAAGAATCATGCAAATAATAATAATGTATTTAATTAAGAGCACTCATCGCCATCTAGAGCAACAATAATTTGTTTCGATTCCTCCGAACGTACAGTGAACTGATAAAATCCTTAACGGACGCCAGTCATTAAAAGTGGCTTTCCGTTTTTCTGGGTACGTTTTGTCGCTTTTCCAGACCATTATACGAAAAAGTTAATTCATTTTTTTGATTTCTTGCTACTGCTGAGAACGTGATGAATAAAAACTGTAGCATAAAACCCAAATGACCCAATGGTCATCTCTGAGTCCCTCGGACTTTGCAGACTCCAGCCCAAGCATTAAATCCGAAAACCATATTTTTGACGTTTCATGTATAATTGTTGTAGGTATCCAGAAGATTGAGGGCGAAAACACAATTTTTGGGGGTCCGGCTCCCCGATTGCGTACAAGCCATCCCAGTTTTCCAACTCATCTATGAACAAATTTGCAGAATTCACCGAAATCTTAATTGTGAACCTTACATTTTTTTTAAGGATTTCAAATTTCCATACATCCTTGACATTCGAATATTCCACACTTGACTGGGGCCCCAAGCGATGCACGTCGGACTATCCCGAACGATCGTGTCCGATCCGGAACGCCTGGCCTCCACCGGCTCGTGTCGTACAAGTCACGAGCAAGCAGTTCAATGATCTGACGGAGAGTGCAGCTGCAAGACCGTAGCCTTTTTTAACCCGTTTAATTACACTGAATATAATTTCTAACTCGTTGCGCGGTTTGAAAAAGCAGGAATACCAGTGTTTCTTTCATAAAAAAAAGTAACGCCTCACATTATTTGTTACATAGACATGGGCAAAAATGGAGGAATCCATAACTCAACTATAGTTGAAGAAAAAAAAATTATTTAAAACAAATCAAAGTGAAAAAATGTATTTAAAACGCAAACAAAAATCTGTAATGCTGTTTTCTAATATTCTAGTCAACATTCAGAATAAACGTATACTCCTTTCTTTTGATGTATCTAAATAAAGAAAAGGTTTTCTAGAAAATTAAATATATTCCAAAATTATTGCTTTGGAACAATTGTCCATTCTTACAAGTATATATTAGTAATTATCTTATCTATGTTTTCAGAGAAAAAAAAATCAATTTAATTACGAGGTAATATTTCCAGTGGAAATTGTGTATACATAAAATTTTGAGGAAGGTGAGGGATATTACACTCCATGCATCAACCACACCACCGAGCAACTTTAAGTCAGATTAATATTTACAATTCATGCCCTTTTTCGTTTGCAGGTACTCGCATTGGCCGAATACAGTCTCGCGAGCTGATCGCGGCGATATTCGCGACCTCTGACGGCGGTTTCGCGAGGCGACCAGCGTCAATTAGCGCTGCTGATTGCCAGCGTCGCCGCTAGATAGCGAGCGGGGCACCACGCGCGCTGCAGTTCGGAAGCCGGTGCCGGCGGAAGCAAACCACGCGGACTCAGGGGGTAACGTCAGCGCTGCGGGAGATTCACTTGTAGTTATAATCGGTTTAGGGCAGCGGGCCGTTCTTTCGACACGTTCCAAAACTGTTGAACATCATCGAAAACAGCACCGCTCCGCTAATTGCATTCTTCCGTCGATTAGACGGGCTGGAGAGCTAACAGATAATGGCTCAGGTGTAAATGGGAGTGTGGTTTAGGTAAGGATAGGTAGTCCCGATACCTCCAACAAATGTAAGTATTGATACCAATCATGTCGAAAAGCAAGGCAGAATTTTCCACTGCACTGTCTGATAGAGAAATGAAAAGACAGGCCGAACGTAAAACTATCACCGCATTCCGAAAAGCCCGGGCTTCACACAATTGCAATTATTCACAAGTTATCAAATAAAACAGTAATAGACATATTTAAATGATATTTATTTAAGAAATTTTTATGCAATTCTAACAACACAAATATATATTTTTTCGTGAAACAAGTTTCCAATTGGCAGAATAACCAAAAAGGAAACAAGAGTCGAAATAATCACCCACTTAACACAAATTAGCAAACGTTCGTGCAATGAATACGAATCGTTTTTACGTGTTACATCAACTCCCCTCCCCCGCCAGGTAAGTCAAGCTATTAAACCAAAAAACCGACACTTCAAGTATTAAATACCTCCACCTATTTCTTGACAACAAATAATGTTACTTGATATTTAAGAAAATGTCTATGGGAAAAATTATTTTAAAAAAACAAATATAGAAGAAAAACATCTATATTACTGCAAAATAGTTTAATTTCACTATAAATGGAGAAGACATTATCAAAAGGGAAATCAGTTTTATGTTTCAAATTTTCACCCTGCTTTTAATAAACCACTTGATATCTTCGACATGCCCTACGAGTAAATTATTGAATACATTTTTGTGCACAATCAGTAAAATTCAAATCCAAAAACAGTTTACTTCATCACCATCGATAAAAATTATATCCGATTTCCCAACGTTCAAAATAAACGCCATTTCCTCCCACGGATCAGAAACTAAATGAAGCTATAAACACAACAGTCCCCTTCCTGAATAAAGACTTCAATCCCAGTATTTTTAACACGATTCCAACCTTCATCTTCCCGCAAAGTTCCTTGATTGCTGTGGCAAAGAGGACCCCGGCGGAAGAAAAAAAAAAAATAACGCACCGGAAGGAAAGCACGCATTAACTCAAACCACAAAACCACGTCGTACAGTTTCCGCGCAAAAAACAATTACACCCACTGGGCTCTGCACAAGTGCAAGAGAAATCTCGTACACTTTCCATGGGCAGTGCACAACTGAAGGTCTTGCGGTCAAAGCCCACTGAAGCAAATACAACAAGGCCGGTCTTGCAACGCCAAGCTCCAAATCGGACTCGTGACTTGGACAGATTAATTCGAGATCTTAACATGAGTTGGTGGTTTCATAAACGCTATAACTCGATTTTAAGAAATGTGTACGTAGAAGTACTTGCATTAACAAATCTAACAAACAATATTTAGAACGAACAGACGCCATAATCTGGTATCGAGTATCTTAATGTTCACACATATGTAATCGTATTTAAAAATAACTATTAAATTTAATAAAATGAAATATATATAAGCTGAATAATATAATTGAATTCACTGATAAAGTCCGCATCAATCACACATTTAAAAATTGGGAAACTCATAAATTCATATTTTCTGTAATTTTTTTAACATAGCAATTTAGATTGTACACAAATAAATGTATTACGATATGGAAATATAAATTTTACTACTATAATTGTAGGAATTGTATGAGCTCGCGGAAAAGAGTGATTGAGGGATGAAGCGTCGGTATGGACGCATGGTCGTTGAGAGAGACTGCGTTGAGTTCGCGAGCGTATGGACGTCTAATTATAGGACGGTTAAATATTAAAGTGAAATTCTGATTTAAAACCCAATTAGTAGCGAATTCATGATATT